TCCGGCTTTTTTCTTTTTGCTTATGTGGTGCTGAGGAATCGAACCCAGGGCCTCAGGCATGCAAGGCAAGCGCTCTACCACTGAGCCACCTTCCCAGCTCTCAAAATACAGTTCTTGTACAATGCAATTTACCCAGGTAAAGGGTGCAATTCAGTGGTTTTGTTAGTGTATTTGGAGTCTGCACAGTGGATGATAGAAGCTGATGTTTCTTCCCAGGTTCATCATGGGCGCTGCCTCTGTCCCTGTTGAAGTTTTGACCCTCTAAACTACCTCATGTCATGGTTTTCTTGACAGGGACATAGCTCCTCTAGCTTGAAAGGCAGAGCTAATATATTAGCTGATGATATGGTGAGTGTACTGTTAGATTATATAACAGCAATAATCTCTGATTAAATAGCAATACCTTAACAGTCTTTTTTTTTTTTTTGTCGGTTATGGGCCTGAACTCTGGGCCTGGGCACTGTCCCTCAGCTCAAGGCTAGTGCTCTACCACTTGAGCCACAGCGCCACTTCCAGCTTTTTCTGCTTATGTGGTGCTGAAGAATCGAACCCAGGGCCTCAGGCATGCAAGGCAAGCGCTCTACCACTGAGCCACCTTCCCAGCCCCATCTTTTTTGTTTTTGTTTTTGTTTTTTTTTGGTGCCAGTCTTAGGGGCTTGAACTCAGGGCCTGGGTGCTATCCCTGTGCTTTTGTGCTCAGGGCTAGTGAGTGCTCTACCATTTTGAGCCACAGTGCCATTTCTGGCTCTTTAGTATTTAATTGGAGATAAGAATCTCATGGGCTTTCCTGCTGTGGCTGGCTTTGAACTGCAATCATCAGATCTCAGCCTTCTGAGTAGTAGGATTACAGGCCTGAGCCACCTGGCTTAAGCAGTCCTATTTTTTTTTTTTTAAGTCAATTGTGGACCTGGCACTGTCCCTCAGCTCTTCAGCTCAAGGCCAGCACTCTACCACTTGAGCCACAGCGCCACTTCTGGTTTTCTGGTTGTTAATTAGAGATAAGAGTGTCACGGACTAGCGATCCTCAGATCTCAGCCTCCTGAGTAGCTAGGATTACAGGCGTGAGCCACCAGTACGTGGCTTAAACAGTCCTATTCTTTATTCTTCTTCCCTGCAGAGCTCTCCAGGGCCCCTAGGAATCCTGAGGAATTTCCCCTTGCCTTGTATAGAGCCCCATGTACCATTTGTAGCGTGGAGCTCTGGATACCCAGAAGCTTTTCTAGCTGCAGACTGGCCTCCGCCCTTGCTGTATCTCCTTCAGCCCGATCGTTTTACTTAGATGTGAGTCCTCACTAGCTACCACTCCCACTGCTTGCCCTCCCCTCCTTGCTTTTGCATGCTATTCCTGCATCTAGGAATTTCAGCCTCCCTTCAGTTTGCACTGCTTCTTGGCTCCCCCAATTCTTCTGCATTTACTCTGGGGTATCCTTTGTCTAGCAGCTGCACTGAGCCTCCGTCAAGTGTACCCTTGCCTTGCGGGCTTTTCTTTGCTCTGCCTGTGGCTCGTGCTTTGCATGATCTGCTTGGGCTGAAGAAGGCACGTGGCAGCATATGCCATCTTCCACCATTGGTGGCCTCCCAGCCACGGGCTTCCTAGCTCTCCACGCTGGGCCTTTATTACGCAGGCATATTTTAGCTGCCCTCAAATCACTGTCGCTGCATGTAGAGCAGTCCCCTCCTATAGGTCAAGGCTCTGCCCGCCTCCTCACCCCAGTATCACCCTGTCTGCCCATCCGGTTGAAGCTGGTACTGAGTGGCATCTCTGGAGGAATCCAGCAGAGGGACTGGGGCCAAAGCTTCAGTGTCCCTTCCCCCCACCAGCTATCGTCCCTGGCGGCTCTGCCACTGTTGCCGATTGTTAGGGGAGAGCTGGGCGGACAGTGGGCGATTCAGCTAGCAGGCCTCTGAGCAACAAGCTCTGTGCTGTGCCCAAGCTATTCAGCGTAGGCAGAAAAGGGTAACCTTGGCTCCTGGGGCACACATGGTAACCCTGTGTGCCCAGGAGCAGCTCTGTGCTGGGCTGGGGTGGTGGAACTTTCTACAGCTTGCTCATTCTCCATCCCATCCATTGACAGATGTCAACTGTTGACAGGAGCTCAGGGCCCAGGAGAACACAGGTCCCCTGCCTCTGGGATTCATGGGAACAGGTCAAGAAGAAACATGGTTTACCTGTTGTGAATGATGTGAAGAGTCGGACATTGCCCTGGGCGAGGGTTCCATAATAGACCCAGCTGAGATACAGCATCAGAGGCACCCAAACGATGGGGACACTGTACCTGCAGAGGGCAATCGGGGTGAGATACATGCACTGTATATGGGGGTATTGACAAGGTCTAGCTTCCCTAGAGGCATACATTTATACCAGGGAGGGGACTAAGTGACACCAAATCATATGCAGAAAGGACCCTAGTGTGGGGGAAAAAAGAGGAGGGAAGTTGTGAATCCATCTGCCTGTCTCTGAGATGTCATTGGCAGAAAAGAACTGGCTACCAACTCTGTGCAGCTGGGTAAACATTGACCTCTTGTGGCCAATGAGCTAATTGCAGGTAAAATTGTTCCATGGATATTAGAGGCTGCCAGCCCCACAGAGGAGTCTAAAAAAGACCAGGGAAGCCGGGTGCTGGTGGCTCACACCTGTAATCCTAGCTACTCAGGAGGCTGATATCTGAGGATCATGGTTCAAAGCCAGCCTGGGCAGGAAAGACCGTGAGACTCCTATCTCCAATAAACCACCAGAAAACCAAAAGTGGCGCTGTAGCTCAAGCGGTAAAGCGCTAGCCTTGAGCTGAAGAACTGAGGGACAGCGCCCAGGCCCAGAGTTCAAGCCCCATGACCGACCAAAAAAAAAAAAAGCGCTAGCCTTGAGCTGAAGAGCTGAGGGACAGCGCCCAGGCTCAGAGTTCAAGCCCCACGGACAAAAAAAAAAAAAAAAAAGAAACGACCAGGGACAGCTTTCAAAGAGATTTCTGGCCATATGTCACACACTCAGTGAACAAAATCATACTCAGAATTAGATTATGCCTATGGCATGTCCCATTTTTGCACATTGGACATATGAGGGAGGGACTGTGTCTTTTGTATCTGAGATGGAGAACCCATGGCAGGTTCCATTTAGAGCTCACCAGACAGTCTTGGACAAGGCCTCGATGAGGTCTGAATGGAAGAGACGGATGGGCCTGGTCACTGGCTGGTGGACCCATTCATCATACTTCTCTCCCAAGCTGCCCACTTGCCACAGAAGAGGCTTCTGCCAGTCTACTAGGTCCTGCAAAACACAACAAGGACCATTAAAAACCGTCCTTAGCATATACTAGTTGTACACAGGGGTTTCATTATTACATTTCTATTACACGTGAACATACATCCCGGTAAATTTCAGTGTATCTTGATTAGATTTGTTTCTTCCAAAATGTAGATCCTTGACAGTCATACCTTCCTGTTGTATTCACCCCTATTCTCCTGGTTACAGCATCCCATTCCCCAGCCCCATCTCATGGGCATGCCAGTCCCGAGCCTTGAACTTGGAATTTTACTGTCTCCATAGGCTTTTCACTCATGGCTAGTGCTCTACCACTTGAACCACACCTCCACTTCTAGCTTTTGGCAGGATAATTGGAGATAAGAGTTTCATGGGGGGCTGGGAAGTTGGCTCAGTGGTAGAGCACTTGCCTTGCATGCATGAGGCCCTGGGTTCGATTCTTCAGCACCACATAAGCAAAAGGAAAAAAGCTGGAAGTGGTGCTGTGGCTCAAGTGGTAGAGCGCTAGCCTTGAGCTGAAGAGCTGAGGGACAGTGCCCAGGCCCAGAGTTCAGGCCCCATGACAAAAAAAAAAGTTTCATGGATTTGGGGCTGGGAAGGTGGTGTTCAAAGCCAGCCTGGGCAGGAAAGTCCATGAGACTCTTATCTCCAATAAACCACCAAAAAACTGGAAGTGGTGCTGTGGCTCAAGTGGTAGGGCGCTAGCCTTGAGCTGAAGAGCTGAGGGACAGTGCCCAGGCCCAGAGTTCAGGCCCCACAACCGGACCAAAAAAAAAAAAAGTTTCATGGATTTGGGGCTGGGAAGGTGGTTCAGTGGTAGAGTGCTTTCCTTGTATGCATGAGGTCCTGGGTTTGATTCCTCAGGACCACATAAGTAGAAAAAGCCGGAAGTGGTGCTGTGGCTCAAATGGTAGAGCGCTGGCCTTGAGCTGAAGAGTGAGGGACAGCACCTGGGCCCAGAGTTCAGGCCCCATGACAAAAAAAAAAGTTTCATGGATTTGTCTGCTCAGTCTGTGATAGTTAACAAACATCTGTGATGATTATCTTATCTTTAAACTACAATTGAGGGCTGGGAAGGTGGCTCAGTGGTAGAGCGCTTGCCTTGCATGCATGAGGCCCTAGGTTCGATTCCTCAGCACCACATAAGCAGAAAAAGCCAGAAGTGGTGCTGTGGCTCCAGTGGTAGAGCACTAGCCTTGAGCTGAAGAGCTGAGGGACAGAGCCCAGGCTGAATTCAGGCCCCATGACTGGCAAAAAAAAAAAAAAACCCCAAAAACAAAAAACTACAATTGAATGTGCACTAATGAAGGAAGAATTAGCATATGATGAGTAATTTATAATTATTCAAATATGCTCAAAGCTTTTACTCATAAGAATGCAGCTCAAAAAAGTTTGGAGGCTATACATGTAGGCAATGGGAGGCTTTGAAGGTTTCTGATGACTTTAAGGAATTGAAAGAGATTAATCTGGACTCCAAACAGAAAAGAACAATGAACTTGGAGTGAGGTAAAACCTTCAAAGCCTGCCTCTCCCATTTACCAACTGTGTGAGCCTGAGAGCTCCCATGATCTCTTGTCTGTGAAGCTTTTCGTTTCCAGTTTTCTTGATGAAGTGGTAAAGGAGAAATAGCCATCTGGGTCCCTGTAACATGCCTTGTCCTGAAGTCAGCTTTGATATTAGTAGACCACATGAGCTCTCTCAAGTGTGGGGTTGGCATGGTCTTCTTCACTCTTTCACTTTTAAGCTGTGTATGTCTTTGTAGTTAAAGTACATCTCTTGCAGACAGTGTAGAATTGGTCTTGCTTTTCTTACTTTTTGTCTGTCATGGGGTTTGAACTTGGGACCTGGGTGTTGTGTCTGAGCTCTTTTGTTCAAAACTAGTCCTCTACCACTTTGAGCCACAGCACCACTTCTGTTTTTTTTTTTTTTTTTTTTTTAGTGGTGATTGGAGATAAGAGTCTCTCAGACTTTCCTGCCCAGGCTGGCTTCGAACCATGATTCTCAGAGCTCAGCCTCCCTGAGTAGGTAGGATAACAGGAGTGAGCCACTGGCAGACCGTGGTCTTGCTTTTCTATCTGTTCAATGTCTGCCTTTTAATTGAACTATTTTCTATTTACATGTAATGTTGGACTCAATTCACTTTCTTGCTGTTTTCTGTTTCCTGTTCTTCCTTTCTTGCTTCATTTGCATTAAAAATATTCTCTCTACGTGGCTGGGAAGGTGGCTCAGTGGTAGAGTGCTTGCCTAGCATGCCTGAAGCCCTGGGTTTGATTCCTCAGTACGACATAAACAGAAAAAGCCAGAAGTGGTGCTGTAGCTCAAGTGGTAGAGTGCCAGCCTTGAGCACAAAGAGGCTTAGGGACAGTGCCCAGGGCTGAGATCAAGTCCCAGACTGGCGCGTGTGTGCATGTGCATGTGTTGTGTGTGTGTGTGTGTGTGTGTGTGTGTGCGCGTGCGTGCGTGTGCGTGTGTGTGTGTGTATTCCACATTATCTTCTCTTTTTTTTTATGTAGTTGTCTCTCTTAGACTCCCCTCAGTGTTACCCTGAGGATAATTTGCATCTTTCTTGGTGGGTAAGGGTAAGGCTATGTCCAGAAAGAGGCAGCTTTGGGGAGCTAGGGGATTCCGGTGGTAATTCATAGCCCTGAACCACAGGTTGGGCCCCAGGAAGCAGATGTGAGTTTGGGTATCTTTGGTCCAAGGCCCTTGTGCGGCCCACATCTCCCCCCCCCAACCCCCCAGCTCTGCCCCAGCCCCTAGGGAAGGGGGTGGTGTCTCTGGGCTATGCCAGGAATGTGGCTGGCAGCAGCTCCCTGCGGAGGGAAAGGGCAGCCTGTTCCCCTCAAGGTGGGTGGAGGGCCTGCTGCCAGGGAGGGGGGGTGCCTCTGTTCTCCCATCCCCCCCAGATCCTGGGCCTTCTGGGCAGCACAGGCACCAGTGACGGAGGATATGTCCTGAGGGGCAGCCCTAGCCCAGGAACAAGGACTCACGGCACGACGTGGCTCTCCTCTGCGCTTGAGGAGCGGGACAGGAAGCAGCTGCTGGTGCCAGGCGCTCCTCCCACCACCTTGGCCACGAGCTCAGGCAGTTGTTTAAAGAAATGTCTGACTCAAGCCAGAGCATGGCTACAGGGCATCTTTCTGAACCAGAGGGGCAGAGGATGGAAGAGGAGGAGGACAGACACAGGAGTGAGGACAAGAAGCTTCAGGAATCCTGGCTACATTTTCTAGGCAGGCCTCGCGTCTGCTATTCTAGTGTGCCTTGATTTGGAGAAATGGGAATTGTGACGAGCTCCTTTTACAGATGAGGACATGGTTAGATGTTCTAGCAGGATCTGAACCTGAGTATCCAGCTTAGATCCCTGCCTTCTGCCACCCAGGGGGCCTCCAATGGGTGTAGTCAGGCTGTAAATTCCTCAGCACGGAGGCTCTGGGGATGGGGGTGAGCGCAGGCAGGAAGGGGCAAGCATGGCTGTGAGCCTGTCTCACTGGGACAAGTTCAAGTTTACAGAGGCAGCTCTGGGCCACCTAACTCTTCTTCCAGTGTCCTAGAAAATGTAGCCAGGTAAGGGGACTTACGTAGGGGACACAGTGGTTGGAAGGTAATGGAGTGCCAGGAGATGAACAAGCCCTTGTCCCGATCCAAGCATTACTTTCCAGACTCTCAGCGACTTAACTAGCAAACTCCAGCTTCCTAGCCAGGTTCCAGGGACCCAGTGAGCTGCCCCTGATACCAAGGGTTGTGCATGTAGGGTTGGGGGTAGGCCACTGCATTTTGTTTGGTGATACATCTGGGTGGATGATTCTCTCTGTCTCTGTATCTCTTCTTTTACGGTTTAAACTTGGAGCTTGCTAAGTTAGCTCTCTACCGCTTGAGCCATGCCTCCAGCCTTGCTTTTTGCTGGTTAATTTGGAGATGGGATGTAGAGAACTTTTCTACTGGCCTGGACTAGACTCAAATCAGCTGTGATCCTCCAGATTTCAGGCGCTGCCTCTGGCGCTGCCTCTGGCGCTGCCGCCTCCTCCTCTTCCTCCTTTTTTTTTGTTGTTTGTGAGGCTTGAACTCAGGGACAATGCCTAGAGTACCTTGAGCTCTTTTGCTCAAGGCTAGTGCTCTGCCACATAGAACCACAGAGCCACTTCTAGTTTTCTTGTAGTTAATTGCAGATAAGAGCCTCACAGACTTTCCTGCCCTGGCTGGCTTTGAACCATGATGTTCAGATCTCAGCCTCCTGAGTAGCTAGGATTACAGGTGTGAGCCATTAGCACCTGGCTGATTTCAGCTTCTTAAGTAGCTAGGATTACAGATAGGACCCAGCTTCTATCTGTCTCTTGGAGGAAACAGGTAGGGATGGGAATGCGGCTTAGTGCTGGAATTCTCGCCTAGCATGCACGAAGCCCTGGGTTCGATTCCCCAGTACTACATAAACAGAAAAAGCCAGAAGTGGTGCTGTGGCTCAAGTGGTAGAGTGCTAGGCTTGAGCAAAAGAAGCTCAGGGACAATGCTCAGGCCCTGAGTTCAAGCCCCAGTACTATCACAAATAAAAAAGAAAGAGAAAGAAAGGAAGGAAGGAAGGAAGAACGAAAGAAAGAAAGAAAAGAAAGAAGGAAAGAGGGAAGGAAGGAAGAAAGAAAGGAGTGACCTCTACTCAACTGACAACTCCTACGTGAAAGGAAGCTGGTTATGTTGGAATCTGAATTAGGCTGATGAAGAGGCTGAGGCTGGGATTTAGACGTCTCTGGTACCCGCTGAGCCTCTTCCCTTCCTTCTGTCTTAGGTGGAAGGACTGCAGGACAAATGGAGGGGGGGGGGAGGGAGAGGAGGGGAAGGCTCAGCAGGCTGCCAAACCGCCCTCCAGGTGAAGTCCCAGGAGACTAGAGCTCACCAGTTAGCTCAAGATAATCATAATCTTTGTCTCCTGGCATTGTTAACAAGCGCAAAATCAGTTTGAGAATACACTTGTGATGCTTGGCTCAGGTAAAGACTCAATGGTAGAAGTGCTGCCCAGGGCCATCTGAACAGGGGAGGCTGGAGCCCAAAGTGGGAAGGGTGGAGCCTCTGAAGTGGCCTCAAGATGCAGCATGATCCAGAGGCCAATGTGCCCAGAAGCCAAGAGTAGTGGGCAAAGCTGGGCACTGGTGGCTCACACCTGTAATCCTAGCCACTCAGGCAGCTGAGGTCCGAGGATTGTGGTTCAAAGCCAATTTGGGCAGAAGAATCCAGGAGATTAAAAAAAAAATCTCCATCTAACCAGCAAAATGCCAGAATGTAATTATGGCTCAAGTGGTAGAGTGCCAGCCTTGAGTGCAAAAGCTAAGGGACAGTATCGAGTCCCTGAGGTCAAAACCCAAGGTTGGCACACATGCGCTCTTTCCACTGGACCACCTAAGTAGGTTCTAGAATCCAGGGAGAGTGGTGCCTGGTTAGGAAGCCAGGGTCCCGCTGACTTGATGGAAAGGCTGCTGTAGAAATCACTTAGGTAAAATTCCATGCACGCCCAGACGGTCAGATGGGAGTCGCCTCGGAGCAGAGTGGGGCACCAGATTTGCTTCTGCTCCTTTCTGCTGCTTTTTGGATCCTTCTGCCTTCAGCCCCGCAGCTCAGCCCAATTTCCCCCTCGTTCTTTCCAGCACGCTCTCCTCTGTCCCCTTATCTTATAAGACCTGGGAAGTTCCTGTAAGAGCTCTCATCCACCATGAATACAGAACACAAGTAGTTAATGTAAGTCCCCTTTGTCTCTGGAGCAGTGCCCAAACCCACCCGAACTGAGACTCTCTGAAAATAAAGCTGCTGTTTGGGTTTGTTTTTTGCCAGTCCTGGGGCTTGAACTCAGGGCCTAGGCATTGTCCCTGAGCTTCATTTTTTTGTGTGTGCCACAGCACCACTTCCCGCTTTTTCTGTGTATGTGGTACTGAAGAATCGAACCCAGGGCTTCATGCATGCTAGGCAAGCATTCTACCCCTAAGCCACATTCCCAGCCCAAAGCTGCTGCTTTCTTGATCTATTTCCACAGCTCTTCAAGATCTGTGTCCCGCAGATCAGCCTCTACTCCCCCCTCGCCCCCACCCCCACCTCCTCCTCTGTTCCTGTCCAAGGGGCTGTGGATAGACAGAAGCAGGACTCTCTTTGGGGGAAAGTTAAAGAGCACAGAGGACAGCATCGTTCATCTTATCTGGGAAGCTTGGCTGTGTGCTGACTTTCCTCAGGTGGCCAGAGGTAGGGACCCCTGCCAAGTGGTCTGTCCTGCCTCCTGTCCCCTGACCCCTCCTTCTCTATCCAGGAACATGGGTGGTGGTGGTAGGGATGAGGGACATGTGTGTGTCAAAGAGATCAAGAGAAGCTAGCAGGGGGATCAGCAGTCATTGTCAGGGGCCCAGGAGAGGGGCGCCTCTCTGCTGAGGTCTCTCCTCAGCCTGCGTGGAGGCTGCACAGGGGGTGTGGGAAAGCTCTCACCCCCGAGAGTGCTCCCCTTGCTGGATCGAGTGATGGGATCCAGTGGTGGTGGTGGATCAGCGTTGCGTCACAGCTGGAGGGGATATGGAAGGAATTTCCCCAGAGCAGGCTGGGGATGGAGTAGGGGTGCTGTTTGCTAACCCTGGCCAGGTGTGACCATGGCCCGCCCTCCCCTCCAATTCCATTTCTTTCTTTTTTTGGTCAGTTGTGGGGCTTGAACTCTGGGCCTGGGCACTGTCCCTCAGCTCAAGGCTAGTGCCCTGCCACTTGAGCCACACCGCCACTTCTTGTTTTCTGGTGGCTAACTGGAGATGAGAGTCTCACAGACATTCCTGCCCTGGCTGGCTTTGAACCAGGATCCTCAGAACTCAGCCTCCTGAGTAGCTAGGATAGTGGCCTCCTGAGTGGCCACCAGCACCCGCCCTTTGCTTTCTTGCCATCGCATCCCATGGCTGCCGCAGGGATCCAGCCCCGCTCAGCTCTTAGTATTTCCTTTCTAATATTCAAGCCTTAAGCCACGCCCATAGGTACTGGCTCCAGGGTAGCCTCTGCAGCAGCTCCTTCTAGTACCAGCCACCCCCCAGCCCGGAGTTGGGACACCCCGGGTCTCGTCTCCTGGTTTTGTGCTCACTCCTCTGCGCCTCCTCATCGCCTCCTATTCCAAGGCAAGGCCCTAAGTGCACCAGTTTTTGTGTTGTTTCTTTCTGAGGGGTGGGAGTGGGTGGGAATCGATCCACTCAAACCGGTCGATTCTCTTATTCTGCCCACACAGAGCAACCCAAATCTACCGCAATTGCCAGCGAAGCCTGCTAACTTAAATCAAGATCCTGCCTGCCTTGGGTCTGACCTGGGCACCATCCAGGCTCAGAATGGTTGTGGCCATGTTTCCAGCCATGCTCAGGGCTGGAGGACAGGAAAGAAGGTTCCAGTGAACCAGCTGGCTGCCACTCTGGGTTTGGGCAAGTCTTGTGTGCTCACAGGCACTCACAGTCAGCTGTGCGGAGCCCCTTTGCAGCCTCCTCTGGCTGCCTGTGTTCTCTGCTATAGCTTCCAGCATCTCCGCTCATTGTGCCGTTTGTCTCTGCCTCTGGTCCCTGGGCAGGCAATCTTCTTCCTGGATGCACACTTTTGAACGTGGACACTGGTGTTTATGGCAAAGGAAGCGTCTCTGCCTTTGCACTTATGGGGAATGTCACCTAAGCCTGCTTTTCAGCAGAACCCCCCCCCATTCAAGGCTTTCTTTCCCATTTCTCACCAAGCACCCCTATTTTTGTCTGGGAGTGCTCAGCAACTCTAGAGCTCACCTCTTCATAAAAGGGGCTCTGCTTGGTTTTTAACCTCCCAAGAAAAGCGTGTCATAGGCTCACACACACACTTGGCTTCATGCATACATCGAGGCTGTGTCCAGCCGTGTCCTGCATGACCTCTGCAGGCTCCCAGGCCTCAAACCACCAGGGACTTCTCTGAGAGGTCCCAGGTCCCTGGACAAACTTGAGTCTGCTCACTCTGTCATCATCTCCTTCCCAGCTTGTGGGGTCCTGTGAGGAGAGTGCGTCCCCTCATGGCTGTTGGGGGCTTGGCTCCATGCAGCGACATCGTGCGCTGTTCATCCTGGCTTCCCACTAGCCAGGCAGCCTCACGCCTATCCCTCCGTTTAACGCCCTGAGCCACACTCGAACCACTGGCACCTGCGCTCCGTCCCCAGCGCTCCTAGGTACATGCAGCATGAATACCACAGCTGCTGGCTTCCTCCTCTTTGCCTCCCCCACCCCAACCCTGATCACCACCCCAATCCATCCAGCTACCTTGTCCCAATCCACCACTGTGAACCTGGGCTCAATAGCAGGGTCTGTCTTCTGAGTTCCAGCAGCAGCCATGGCCCCGTTCTCCATGGAACCCTGAGGAGAGAAGACACAACGTGGTAATGGCGAGGGGTGGGGGTGCGCGGGGTGGGGGGGAGGTTACTCTCAGCAGATGAGGAATGAGAACAGAGCCGGGGCTGCTCCACAGCAAGGTAGCCAGAAATGGGGAGAGGCCTCTGGGTGGTGCTGGGTGGGTGGAAACCACAGGCACAGTGCTTCTGAAAAAAGAGACGCACTGATGTGGCTGTCGTTGCTCTTTATTCTTTTGTTCTTCCTTTAAAAAATTTTTTTGGGGGCTGGGAGTGTGGCGTAGTGGTAGAGTGCTTGCCTAGCATGCATGAAGCCCTGGGTTCCATTCCTCAGTACCACACAAACAGAAAAAGCCGGAAGTAGTGCTATGGCTCAAATGGTAGAGTGCAAAAGAGCCCAGGTCCCAGGTCCCTGGACAAACCCAGGCCCTGAGTTCAAGCCCTAACACCAACATAAAATAAAAAAATAAAGCCGGGTACTGGTGGCTCATGCCTATAATCCTAGCTACTCAGGAGGCTGAGATCTGAGGATCGCGGTTCAAAGCCAGCCTGGGCAGGAAAGTCCATGAGACTCTTATCTCCAATAAACCACCAAAAAACTGGAAGTGGTGCTGTGGCTCAAGTGGTAGGGCGCTAGCCTTGAGCTGAAGAGCTGAGGGACAGTGCCCAGGCCCAGAGTTCAGGCCCCACAACCGGACCAAAAAAAAAAAAAGTTTCATGGATTTGGGGCTGGGAAGGTGGTTCAGTGGTAGAGTGCTTTCCTTGTATGCATGAGGTCCTGGGTTTGATTCCTCAGGACCACATAAGTAGAAAAAGCCGGAAGTGGTGCTGTGGCTCAAATGGTAGAGCGCTGGCCTTGAGCTGAAGAGTGAGGGACAGCACCTGGGCCCAGAGTTCAGGCCCCATGACAAAAAAAAAAGTTTCATGGATTTGTCTGCTCAGTCTGTGATAGTTAACAAACATCTGTGATGATTATCTTATCTTTAAACTACAATTGAGGGCTGGGAAGGTGGCTCAGTGGTAGAGCGCTTGCCTTGCATGCATGAGGCCCTAGGTTCGATTCCTCAGCACCACATAAGCAGAAAAAGCCAGAAGTGGTGCTGTGGCTCCAGTGGTAGAGCACTAGCCTTGAGCTGAAGAGCTGAGGGACAGAGCCCAGGCTGAATTCAGGCCCCATGACTGGCAAAAAAAAAAAAAAACCCCAAAAACAAAAAACTACAATTGAATGTGCACTAATGAAGGAAGAATTAGCATATGATGAGTAATTTATAATTATTCAAATATGCTCAAAGCTTTTACTCATAAGAATGCAGCTCAAAAAAGTTTGGAGGCTATACATGTAGGCAATGGGAGGCTTTGAAGGTTTCTGATGACTTTAAGGAATTGAAAGAGATTAATCTGGACTCCAAACAGAAAAGAACAATGAACTTGGAGTGAGGTAAAACCTTCAAAGCCTGCCTCTCCCATTTACCAACTGTGTGAGCCTGAGAGCTCCCATGATCTCTTGTCTGTGAAGCTTTTCGTTTCCAGTTTTCTTGATGAAGTGGTAAAGGAGAAATAGCCATCTGGGTCCCTGTAACATGCCTTGTCCTGAAGTCAGCTTTGATATTAGTAGACCACATGAGCTCTCTCAAGTGTGGGGTTGGCATGGTCTTCTTCACTCTTTCACTTTTAAGCTGTGTATGTCTTTGTAGTTAAAGTACATCTCTTGCAGACAGTGTAGAATTGGTCTTGCTTTTCTTACTTTTTGTCTGTCATGGGGTTTGAACTTGGGACCTGGGTGTTGTGTCTGAGCTCTTTTGTTCAAAACTAGTCCTCTACCACTTTGAGCCACAGCACCACTTCTGTTTTTTTTTTTTTTTTTTTG